GGATCCACCTATGTTAAAATATATTAAATTTTAATGTTAATTTTTGTTGTTCCAGACTTGTGTTTAATTGGAGGGTTCTATCCCCTGCTTGAGGGTTATTTAAAATCTTAAGTTACTTCACGTCAAAAACTGAAACAATGTTTTAGGATGTACGAACAATACGTGCTGTCATCTGCCATTGTGAGAGAGCAGTGTTTTTAGTAAGTGTTATTGGTCAACTCCACTTTTTTCCAAAGTGACAAGGGATGTCATTTCTGAATTTTTTAGTAATATGAATGCTCCTATGTAAGCAAATTTGTTTTCTTTTTAAATTATTGTTTAAACTAATGAACAGTGCCTAAAGTAAGATATACATCTGCAACATCAAGGCATTTTTGAGTTAGTGTTGATGTAATATTCCTGACCTTGTCCTCATTAGTTATTGTAGCACATATGGTATGGAAGATCACCTACTGCTCTTAAACCATTTTCTAGTACACCATGTGCTGTAACACTCAGACATGATGGGGTGAATAAAATGCAAGCTGAAATATCTTCATGTCATTTTGTTATTACTTAGAAGGCTAGAACAGTTTATTTTTTAGAAGACAAATACTATAAATAAACCAACATATTAAGAGAACTTGGGAGTTCATTTAATCATACATCTAAAATATAAAGGTAGTTTCAGTGCCTTAGTCAAGCCCAGGTACATCACAGACAGCTGAGATTAATCCCTCAGTTAATGTTAGTTCCATAGAATACTGAATTTATAAGCTGTGTTATGCATTCTAACACCGGTGAACAAGTCTATGATTCCAAACATGGTCCTTAAAAGGCCACAGAAATTCCAGTACACTACACAAGTAAGATGCAAGAGCATCACCAGTCTTCCAGGTCCCTGCTGTCATGGAATTTACTGAGTAAAAATGCTCAAATTGAAAGAAGTAGACTGTGTCTCATACTACAGAGGAAAAGAGTGAGCCTGACCTTGCCATTTTCTTGGTGAAACATGAGCCAGCAGTGTGCCCCGGCTGCAAAGGAAGCCAACAGCATGCTGGGCAGTGCTTCAGCTTGGAGAAGACATTGGTGTGATGTAATTTCCAGCCTTCTAATATGTTCAAGGAGGTTATCAAAAAGACAGAGCTAGACCCCTCGTGGTGGTGCATGGAATTAGGGACAGCAAACATAAATTGAAATGAAGGAGGCATTGGCTTGATATAAGGAAAAACATTTCTCTGTAAGGACAGTCAGGCACTGGAACAGGTTGCATAGGGGCGTTGAGCAGTCTCCATCCTTGGGAATTTTTCGAGACCCAACCAGATAAAGCTCTGAGCAACCTCAGGGGCATTGAGCAGTCTCCATCCTTGGAAGTTTTCGAGACCCAACTGGATAAAGCTCTGAGCAACCTCAACTGACCTTGTAGCTGACCTTGCTTTGAGCAGGCCTTTGGACTAGAGACCTCCTGAAGTCCATTTCTAGTCTGAATTACTCTAAGTTTCTATATTCAGTCTATTACAGCTGGCTTAATTGTGATACGTTTACACAAGGCTAGATATGTAAGAAATTTTCCACTGCTTCTAGGAGCAGAAATGATCTGACTCTATAACAGACTAATAGTGGTTTAGAGAAAGTAACATTTATCTTCCACCTTCCTCGTCTCTCCCCCTAAAGCTAAGTAATACTTTGAAGAGGAAAGGTTCCTCCCTGGTCCCTGGAAATGAGCAGAAGCCCTGAAGGATAATTTAAGTATTATATAAATGTGTTAATTACACAATAAATTATGATAAACCTACATTTCCTGGTTTTAGTATTTGCTTATTTTTACCTCAAGTTTTCAAGGAGGTGCAAGTTCCTGCTTTTTGGTTTGTAGTAAACTTCATCTGGTAGTTTTCCTTTTGCTTATTGGATGGTACAATAAACAGCATTACTATCTAGAATACTATAAATACATCATTTCCATCATAAAAGTACAAAAAAAAATTCGATATGTACAGAAATTTTCTTTTATGTACTTCAGTGATATCAGCATGATCATGATCACCCTCAGCAGCTAACAGAGATGCACAAAGTAGGATTTTATTGCATAGACATTCTGAAGCCCATGGCCTGGATTTGCTGACATCTTCCAAGTTTTTCTTTTTTTTTTTTTTAAATGCACCATTTTTCAGTTAGTTAATTCTGTGATATTAATCTAAGATTTGGCCAACATGATCCAGCAGAAGCAAGAAAGCAAAAGGTACCTCAAAAATGTACTTACTGCAAATCTACTTTCATTATGTAAAACATTGATTAACTCCGCAATGTGTGTAAGTTGAGATAATGTAATAAATGAAAATTTGGATATATGTCAGAGAGAAAATATTTATGCAAAATGTGGTGGTCACAGAGTATAATTCCATTTTTTTTTCTGTTCTTTTTATTGTTTGGCATTTCCATTCCTCAGTTTCTATTTCCTCTCTTTTCAGGAGCCTGATTCAGAATACACTGTGTTTCAGGTAAAATTCTTTTCATAAATACAATTATTAAATACAATCATTAGGAAGATTTTCTAATACACTGAATAATATTTGTTTTGTTGTTGAATCCTTAATGGCATAAATTTGTTTTTCATCGTTGGTAAGGCAGTACTTTTGATAAGGGTATTTTAAATAGGCAGCTTTTATATTTGATAGAAGTTTATTTCTCTCATATATTTCCTGTAGGTTTGTTCAGCAGTTCAGTACCTTCGTGCCTTCTAAAAGCTAAATTGAATCTCTCTTGAACTGAACGACCTTCATCTGCTGATGAAATTAGCAAAAAGCCAATGTGTGTCAGTGCACATTTCTAATTCCTTTTTGCACACCTTGATTTTTCAGATATTTAGCATGTCTGTGTGTGTGTGTAGAAATGATACTTTTGTTTCATATGAGTCTTGTAACTAGTTAGGAATTTTGAATTGTCTTCTTGTCTCCCAAGGTGAAGGTCATCTTTCTATAGTTTGAGTAACAAATTTGACATTTTTCTCTCTTGCTGTTTTGATCAGAAGTCCTTTAACAAACTTTGGTGCTGGCAATACTCTGATCTACAGACTGATGCTTAATTAAGGAATAAGATGAGATATTTGAATTTTTTATTGCCTGTGAAGTCTCAGACTAAGAGCTTCATTAAAATAAACTTGTTAGTCTGCTCTTCCAGTTTTATGACAGATATTTGTCCAATAATGACAGAAACACATGTTGCTTTTAAAAATACCTTATCTCATGTTTGTTATTGGAAAAATCACAATGATATGTTTATGTTAAGAACTGGCCCTAGTTTAGCAATTAGTGCAGAGAAGTTGCTACTTTCAGTTCCCAGGAAAAGATCATTACTATGGGCAGCTTTTCTTATCTCTGCTGGGAAATTAGCCTGTGTTTGGCTATACCGAAAGCTCTAATTTCAGCATATTCCTGATATATTCTGTTCACTTCAGATATATATCTCTGAAAAAAAGCTGAGTACCATCAAGGCGTTAAAAATTCAACACACTAAATACTCATATAGAATAATGAAAAACAGCTAAAGGTGTTGCACATCTAACTGCAAATCTCAGTGCTAATTAAAGGTTGTCACCCTACTACATAAGAAGAAACTAAAGATAATAAAGCAGATCTGGATTATGTCTGTCTGGCCTAGATTCACATCATCCTGCCCTGTTCTTTTCTCTTCACACTTGAACAAAGGTTTCTAATTGTGGTTGAACTGGCTGACTAAATCCCTCCTTTACTTCTGCTTGGAAGAAAGCACTTTTAAAAAGGAAAGTTAAATATTTCAACATTTCTAGCTATACTTTAAATTTGGTAGATAGTTATAAAGTTGCATAGAAATATGAAGGAAGTATAGGGGAAGATGTGGTCTGAGACATGATGAATGAGAAGTGTCCCATTAAATGATTACTTACATTACTAAATAAGCCTGACGTCCAGATCTTCTCCTACCTCTTATTTAAAGAACAACAGTTTTCATGTGTTTGACCTTTAGTTCTATTAAGGTAGCGTCAGTCTGTTTCTATTTTGAAATGTCTCCTTAGAAAATCTTAAACATGCTTTTCCATCAGACTGCTGTATACTGTGTCAGAAAAGAAATGAATCTAATTATTTTGGCAGTGATTTTTACTCTGGAAAATTTATGATGATCTGTTCAGTATCTGAAGGAAGATCAGGGCTTGGTCTTATGGCTCCCTTTATCATGCCAGCCTTATGAGTACATTACAGGCATATTAAGTTATCAAAGTGGTTGGATCTGCGCTTATTTTGTTGTTACTTTTGTATGGCTGCCACTGGTCTTTCTTTTCACAGTGATTTGTTGTCTCTACAGTAAGCTTGTGACCAGGCTAGAATTATGCTTGCCTTTCCACACTGCTCATGTAATCCTCCAAGACATTTAATGTGGTAATTTGTCAGTTCAGTTCACTAAGAAGTGCTCCAATAATCTCACAATCTGACATGCTTAATCTATACATTTATACATCCGATGCTTTAGATTATCTTTCTAAGAACTGTTGCTTGCGGGTAGTAATGTACTGTATCTTTAACTGCTGGTTAAAAGATTTTCCTTTTTTCTCTATGGATGCCTGAGTAGGTCATTACTTTTCATTACAGTACCTTCCTTTCCCATCCCAGTTCAAATAAGGTGTCTGTCAGCAGAGTGGGAGGGTGGGGTTTTGAATGGTGCTGGTGGCTGGGGATTTCTTCAGAAACACAAGATCTCAGAGAGTTGCCTGTGACCTAAATTAGTCATAACTTTTCATGAGGCATGAAATTCTGTCCTCCAAACTCAGTGACTGTAGTTGTTCCACTCCAAAATAGTTGTCTAAAGTCTTGGTCCCCTTTCCATCTCCATCAGGCAACTGATAGATATACCCCACCGTTTAAGTCAATACTTTGTTCAAGGCTATTTAAACTGTTAAGAGAATAATAATAAAAAAATGGCAAAATTAGTGATTAGGTATTTACTTGGTGTCTTGAAGATATTTTACTATTTACTTTATCCTTATTCAGGCTGCCTGGAGCCTGAAAACACGAGCTTTGACAGAAATGGTGTATGTGGATGAAATTGATATGGATCAAGAAGGAATTGCAGAGATGATGCTAGATGAAAACGCCATTGCTCAAGTCGCACGTAAGAACGACTTTCACTTAAATACATTGAAGCAACAAGAACTTTTTTGGTCAGGATTATTGTCTAGCATGAAATAATACATACAGAGGTGACCTGATAAGCGTTTTAGCTATTGCTACAAGAAGCGTTTTAGATTGTTTTATGGTTGCAATGTTGAGATACACCATATGATCTTGATGCAGTGCTTAGGTCAAAGTGTCAGCTTTTGTTTTGTCAGCTCTTCTTCTACATCTCTGTACTCACTAGCTCTTTTCCATCAGTGCATTGATTTCTTTCACTCCTTTTGACTTCTTTAGGCACTTGGGAAACTAGAGAAAAATATATGCCCTTGATGTGCTGTGAATCTCATCCATATGCCTGTACTGTAGGCAACAGTCTGGCCAGATCTAACATCACCTTTTTGCATTGTTTCCCGCAAACATTTTCTGAACCGATATTCTCTCTTCTACTTTTCTCTATTTTTTCCTCTCTTCCTTCCCAGGGTAGTTCTTCAGCCCTGTTATTGTTTCTTGTATGCAGCTCTTTTCAGCTTCGTCAGTTCCCTACTAAATGGGCAGTAATTAGTCTTTCACTACTTTCTGACATTATTTCTATTTTTCCCTGTTTCTTTAGTGTACAAGGCCATGTAGGAATTTTTATGCGTCTCATTACATGAGACTCTTAAAAACCTACCGTGTCAAGGAGTTCAAGGGAAGAACTGGACCTAGGCCAAAAGTAATATTTGAAGCATTAAAAGCTTTTCTCATCTGGATAGAAGTAGGCAATTGCATATCTATCTGATCACATTTTTAAAAATTGTCATTTCATGCTTGATCACGTGTCAAGCAGTACTCAAGTTGTGTTTATACATTACAATAATCTAATTATATGTATCGGTCTTAAAACAGCATAATAATATAATTTAGACTTTTATTTGATTTTATGCCAAGAAAAATAATTTGATGAATAGCATTGAGAAATAAGGCATTCTGGAAATACACATTCCCACTATACTTAAACTGAAGAACGGTGACTTTCTATATAGTGTGCCACAGATTTCAAAGCCAAAGAAAATCAATGTGATAGTGTAGCCTGCACTTCTGAATCATTGAGATAAAACTTCACTATTTGTGCTTCAAATCCATGAGATGTGCCTGACTAGTATGTCCTTTTTCAGAAAGTGCAAGAACTTTCCAGAGAGAAAGAACTCCCTGCAGTCTTTAGTAAATTATTAAATTTGTTAGCTTTTATCAGTGTATGTCATATCTTTAGTGGGAATATCAACGATAGCTCCAGCTGTTGCTTCTTTGTGTACGTTTTATCCCTAATATGAAGTCTTTATTTTCAAAAGTATATTTCCAAAGTAAATAGTTAAAAGTGTCATTAAGTCATCCAGTGATCTTTTCTTTGATAAACTAAACAATCTTCTCATTGAGATGTATCTTTTAGTTTTTGAGTTGAGTCTTGAAGCTCTGTTCTTAACCCTTTCCAATTAATTTGCATGCTATTTCAGTTGTAGTCACCCAACCAGACAACAATCCACTGACACATAGTAAATACATTTTTCTTCTACAGCTTGATTTTACTTTCTTTATACATCTGAAGTGTTTTCCTGTCACACTGTTGTATAAAATGTAAGTACAGATATCACTAGGGAGAGTGCAAAGAGGACAGAGCCAAGCTCTTTTCTGTGGTGACCAGAGGCAGTGGGCACAAACTGAAACACAGGAGGTTCCCTCTGAACATCAGGAAACACTTTTTTCACTGAGAGTGACTGAGCACTGGCACAGGTTGCCCAGGGAGGTTGTAGAGTCTCCCTCCTTGGAGATATTCAGAAACCATCCAGACAGGGTCCTGGGCAACTGGCTTTAGGTGGGCCTGCTTGAGCATGGTTGGACCAGATGACCTCCAGAGGTCCCTTCTAACCTCAACCATTCTGTGATCAGCTCCACTTTTACACGAGTTAGTAAAAATGAGTGCTTGCTGACTGTGGGCTTTTTCTTTTGCTGTTAAAGCATGTTAGCCATAGTTGGTCTTGACTCAGGGTCTTTTACTGTGACAAATATTCCAGGATATCCTACCCCACTATAATTATAGCTTACAAACTTAAAAATGTGTAGTCATACCTCCCATATTACAACTGGTATTGTCTGTACTTTGCTTACTAAGCAGTTCAAATTCTTTTCCATCAGCTACATGTCCATTTCTATTTTGCATCTGTCCTTATCTTCGTTTCCAGATTAAACTATCTTAATAATGATTTTGCTCTCAGTCTTGCATTACTAAATAATTGCTACAATTGTATAGGGTCCACTGGAAACAACTACTCTTCTGTGGTTCCTCTTCCTACGTATATAAAGAAATTTGTCTTCCACCAGTTTTAAAATTTTTATAATTTTGCTGTGTCGATTTTCTGTCGGTCTTGTTTATTAATAAAAACATCCTGTAGTATCATTTTACAGAAAATTCCCAGTATGTTACCTTTGCACTCTTAACATCATCGATTTTATCAGCTAAGGTTGTAATCATGTTTAAAAGAGTTAACTTGACAATGTATTTTTCAGAAAGTCATACTAATTGACATTATGGATAATCACAGCTATTTCATTAACGAGGGAGTTAAAGGAGTCGGCCGCAGTCCTCACTAACTGCTGAAATTACGCTCTTAGATTCTGTCACTGTTAGTGGCCACGTGCACTGCTGTGGCCTCTTGATGCCTGTTTGTAGCTAGTTCAGTTGGGATTCTCAAAGTAAGGGCTGAGGTGCCTGGGGTGAGACCACGGAACTAAATCCTGTAAGCATTTTCTCAGTACACCAAAAGTACAAAACAATCGTAGTTATTAAAAAACATGTCTGGAAAAGGGATTTTAATGCCGTACCTTTTTTATATTATTGCAATAGTTAAAAAAAAGGCTCAGAAAGTAGAAGACTAGTTAGTTCATTGTCTGCTAGCCTGAAAAGTTGAAAGCCACTTTCTCCATTTCTCAGAAGAGTGCCCTAGTTGTCATGTTAGAAACTCTGGTGGACGGACTGTCCACCCTTTCTGTTGTGGAGTAAAAAATGCAAGATTCACAGTACTATAAAGAGCAAGTAATCAACAGAGATCCTAAATGTGGCCAGCCAGAAGAGAGAATCCTGAGTTTTGGTACTTATTTTAATATCACTTACATATTTAGTTGATTTTACCAAGAAGATCATCGTTTAATACCTTTTTTGTTTTATTTAACTTTAAACACAGCTGTAGCCAGGTGGCTACTATAATATTGGAGCAGAGATGCTTGGTATCAGCATGAATTAAAAAAGCTAGAAGATATTTAGATTGAGTTAGAAGTTACCGATTTGGACAAGTCTACTAAACTTGCTTAAACAATGGGCTGGTAGTATCTCAGAGGTAATTACAGCCTGAGGGCAGGAGAGAGAGAAGATTGAAAAAGGGCAAACTTGGGGTTTATCTTAGGGAAGAAAAGAAGGAAGGAAACCATCTACCTATCAGTTTTTCAGTTCTTGGAAACATCTGGAATAAAAGCTGTTCATAAGTATCTAGAAAGTAAGTAGATGAGTAACAGTGATTTGTCGAGAACTGGCTGTGTCAAGTTAAATTTCATTCCTGTACATGGTAACAAGCAGTGAACAGATCAGAAGGTATAGATGTCATATCTTGCTTTTAACAAAATTTTCAAAACCATCTCTTAGACATTCACTTAGGAGGCTAGAAAAACTGACTATAATCAAATGTCTGTGAAGGTAGTAGAAAATCTGCATGCAGGAACTAGTAATTCTTAATGCTTCACTGTCAAACAGAAGTATGTGAAAAGGGAGACCATTCATCTGTTCACCTGGGCTCAAGCCAATTCAGTATTTTCATTGATGACCTTTGGATATGGATGAGTTTGAACTTTACTGTGCCCTAAATTGTGGTTGAGGGTCCTACATGAGTCTAATGACAGGAGATAATTCTACATCTGCCCTGTAGCTGAAGGTTTTGGTTTACTTACTCAAGTTGGGGTGCTATTTTAGTCCCAGATAGAAAAGACACCATTTCAAATTAGCATGATCTCATTGTTCCAGTAACCTTTCTTACTCCAGTGCTATCTGTTGCTCCTAAGATATTATTGAGAATTGTTGTGGGTTAAGCCCAGTAGGCAGCTAAGCCCCACACAGCCACTCACTCACTCCCCGCAAGTGATAAGGCAGAGGATGGGAAGGGTGGAAGTGAAAAAAACATGTTTATTGTGGAAGGTTTCTTTCAACAGTCTGACAATCTATCAGTAGTACAGTGCAATATTTGCATTTTGTCTTCTTTGTCTAATGCTGTGTTCCCTCAGTTTGAACAAAAAAATCTCCAGTTCATTGTAAGATACAATCATTTTTGAAGTCCCCTGGACAAGGCTGTGGTATCTCAGTGTGAAGTGAGAAGTGCTCTTGTTTTATAGGACCAGGAACATCTTTGAAAATCCCTGGAACTAGCCAAGGTGGAGGCCCCAGCCCAGCTGTTAGGTATGTGGTTGTTTATTTTTTAAAAATGTGACTAGCTACAAATGAGCAAATCCTAAATTTAACTTCAGATATAATTTATGATATAAATAACTTCAGATATAATTTAATGCTTCAGATATAAGTGTTTAAATTCTCTATCAATAAATACCGCTCAACATAAGGATAATTGCTTGACATCTTCAGGCCAGTGACTCAATCAGGAAGACCTATTACAGGTTTTGTGAGACCCAGCACACAAAGTGGACGGCCAGGTACTATGGAACAGGCTATAAGAACACCTCGAACAGCTCTCACAGCTCGTCCAATTACTAGTGCTTCTGGGAGATGTGTCAGGCTAGGAACGGTAAGTTGACTCTGTTCTCAGAACAGTGGCTTTCTTGGTCATATTATCTGGTACATTTGTCATTGTAGCGGACTTAAAAACTGCATCTAAACTCAAGTTTGAAGGAGGTGAACATTTTCAAAGTAGAGTTTGAAAATGTTATTTCTTGTTAGTCTCCTAGTCTGTTTATTTTAAAAATGTACATAAATTCACAAATTCACAAAAACTCCAAATTCCCGTGTTCTATGGGACTCCTTTTTATTCACTGAAGGCCACGAAAAGATTATGACATGATTTCACCATAAGTATGTTGAAACCTTCTCCAAGTTTTTCAGTTTACTACAAAACAATTACTAATCTCTCAGTGTCTGTCACTTCAGAAGATAAGGAAAATTAACTATACTAGTTTTATCCTGTTCTATTGGCAAAATTAATAAACTGCAACTGGCACAAATACAGATTAACATCCCATTAATGGCAAAATGTGGTATCTTCTCACTATTGCAGGTGTGAACTGATCATCTGAAATCTTACTTAGAAGATTTTTTTGTTATGTATCCCAACTGCAGAGCAATGCGTCTATAAATGCTTTGTTTATTTGGGTTTGGTTTTTTCTGATATACTACTAATATTTTGAAAATTTTCAGGAAAAGCGTAGGGAATCTTCCCACTTAAAAACTTCTTTCTCCCCTTCAGGCTTCAATGCTAACAAATCCAGATGGCCCTTTCATAAATCTGTCTCGACTGAATTTAGCAAAATATGCTCAAAAACCCAAACTGGCAAAGGTATGTAACTACTTTGGTTAATGTTGTGATATCTTTTTCTTATTTTCTGGCATCATTCTAATGTACATGGGATTGAGGATACAAACAGTGATGAACTGTTTTGTAGATGTAAAGTTCAGAAAAATAATGTGTTACTTATCTTTTGACAGTGGTCACCAGACTTGAAAATGTCTGAAGAGGTTACGTTGAAAGTATAACCTAGGAAAAATATTTGTATAAAATAAAATATTCTGTGTACAAATAGATGGCAATCCTGGCCAAAAAGTGTTCAAATGGTTTGGATTTTCCCTTTGATTTTGTGGTATGGGTTAACATTTTTTATGTAAAAATATTTCATCTTTTTGTTCAGAATTCTTCTTCATTTTCAGTTAAGATCTTATGATTGACAGCAATTGAAACTGATACTATCCGCCGATGGAACAGGTTTATCCAGGTTATCTGCCAAACTTACGGTTTCAGCTCTGAGTGGAAGGGACCTAAAAGTTGTGTATTGATTTATCACTCTCAGGCCTTTCAGTTGAATCTTTCCCCAACACAACCAGCTGTATAGATGAAGGTGTTTACTGTGTATGCTTTGCTCACAAAAATCAACTGCTGGGCTGAGACCAACAACTAATTTTGCACAAGATATGAAACTACTCTCAGACGCACTCTCAGGAGCTATATGTGGCTAGCAACCTAGAGCTGAGAGAACCTGTATGTATTCCATCTGTTTTGTGAAACGTAGTGGTGAACACTGCTAGAAGACTAGCGGTACATAATAGTCTGCTGGTGGAAATTAGCTCCTCCAGTCCAAAACTTTAGTTAATAATTTTTCATAAACAATTAGCAAATTCCTTTGCTTTTTAAAACTTGATCTAGACTGATGTAGGGCATTGCTTTTCAATCTGGTTTTCAAAGGAAATAAATTTTGTGTGTTTGCACTATTCTTCACCTACTCCTTACGTCTCTGTCCCTTGGTGTCTTAACCAAACTAGGCAGAAGAATAGATAACAAATATGGTAAGTTCTAGTCTGGTGAGATAGTGAAAGACTCACAAACTGTTGTCTGAGAGCAGTTACGAGCTAGTTCTTTATCAGTTCTGAAAAGAACCGCAGGCCTTTTTTCCAATTACGTCCTTGCCAGGAGTCAGGCAGCACACACATTATTCTTAATCTATCACAGCCTATAAATTGAGAGAATGTAAGAAACGTAGGAAGGATTAAGAAACACAGACACATCCATGAGAAACTAGGCTTACTTCTTCAGCTTGAAGACAACTAGCTTTTAGGTGTGTTTGGTAACTCTATACTATTTAAGTAGGTAGGTTAGCTTTCTGATGAAGTATTTATTCTCAGCAACAGCTGTCAGGAATGAGGAACGTATATATTTTTAACAATTTTGGGTTTTAATTAGCATTTTCTAGGACAGTAGGGTAGCTCTGTTTTCCTTCAATTTCATATGAAAAGAGGCTTAAGCCAAAAACGATAAAACAACAGTCATAGAAACATCCGTAGGCAGCAAGTGTACTTGTCAATATTATGAAGCTAATACATTATGACATTAACATTTCAGACGGAATGTAAGACCTAAGTTTAAATTTGGAGCTGCATGGATTTATAACTTCTTTTTTAAACAAGACACCGTTAAGGCTAAAGCCAAAGCAGGAGGTGAGACTGCAGACTGCGCTCTGTGTTAAGAATCATTGATTAAAGTTTTAAAACTCTTCGAGCTGTCACCTCTCCCAAAAAGATGGGACAAATCTTGCAAGTATTAAATCCGCATTAATTGCCTCAGTCTTCACTGGCAAGAGCTCTAGCCGCACCACCCAAGTCACAGAAGGCAAAGGCAGGGACTGGGAGAATGAAGAACCATCCACTGTAGGAGAAGATCAGGTGCAAGACCATCTTAAGAACCTGAAGGTGCACAAGTCCATGGGACCTGATGAGATGCATCCGTGGGTCCTGAGAGAACTGGCAGATGAAGTTGCTAAGCCGCTATCCATCATATTTCAGAAGTCGTGGCAATCTGGTGTAGTTCCCACTGACTGGAAAAGGGGAAACATAGCCCCAGTTTTTAAAAAGGAAAAAAAAGTAGACCCAGGGAACTACAGGCCAGTCAGTCTCACCTCTGTGCCTAGCAAGATCGTGGAGCAGATCCTCCTGGAAGCTATGCTAAGGCACATGGAAAATAGGGAGGTGATTGGTGACAGCCAACATGGCTTCACTAAGGGCAAATCCTGCCTGACTAATTTGGTGGCCTTGTACGATGGGGTTAGAGCATTGGTGGATAGGGGAAGAGCAACTGACATCATCTACCTGGACTTGCACAAAGTATTTGACACTGTATCACACAACATCCTTGTCTCTAAATTGCAGAGACATGGATTTGATGAATGAAGCACTCGGTGAATAAGGAATTGGCTGGATGGTCACACTCAAAAGAGTAGTGGTCAACGGCTCAAAATGTCCACGTGGAGGCCAGTGACGCGTGGTGTTCCTCGGGTTGATTTTTGGGACTGGTGCTGTTTAACATCTTTGTAAAGTGACATGGACAGTAGGAGTGAGTGCACCCTCAGCAAGTTTGGTGATGACACCAAGCTGTGTGCTGTGATTGACATGCTGGAGGGAAGGGATGGCATCCAGAGACCTTGGTTTTACAAGTGGGCCTATGTGAACGTAATGAAGTTCAACAAGTCCGAGTGCAAGATCCTGCACATGGATTGGGGCAATCCTGAGCACGAATGCAGGCTGGGCAGAGAACAGATTGAGAGCAGCCCTGAGGAGACGGACTTGGGAGTGTTGATTAAAGAGAAGCTCAACATGACCCCACCTGGAGTACTGTGTTCTGTTCTGGGGTCCCCAACACAAGAAGGACATGAAGCTGTTGAAGCAGGTCCAGAGGAGGGCCACGAAGATGATCCAAGGGCTGGAGCACCTCTCCTATGAAGACAGGCTGAGACAATTGGGGTTGTTCAGCCTGGAGAAGAGAAGGCTCCAGGGTGATCTTATTGCAACCTTCCCGTACTTAAAGGGGGCCTACAGGAAAGCTGGAGAGGGACTTTTTACAAGGGCGTGTAGTGATAGGACAAGGGGCAATGGATTTAAACTGAAAGAGGGCAGATTTCAATTAGATATAAGGAAGACATTTTTTACAATGAGGGTGGTGAGGCACTGGAACAGGTTGCCCAGAGAAGTTGTGGATGCCCCATCCCTGCAGGTTTTCAAGGCCAGGCTGGACGAGGCTTTGAGCAGCCTGGTGTAGTAGAGGGTGTCCCTGCCCATGGCAGGGGGGTTGGAACTAGATGTTCTTAAGAGATCCATTCCAATCCAAACCATTCTATGATTCTGTAATTAACCTGTGTATTCACGTTTGTATATACTCATTCTACGTGCTTCTTCCTTATATATTTGCAAAGTATACTCTTGCATCTTATTTTAAGTTAAATTAGCTATCTTTTCTTTGCATGACTATGTCTTCCGATATTTTGAAGTATACAGGAATGTGGCTTCTCTTTGACTAGCATCAACCATGTTAAGGACTATGGCAGGAAACCCCATAGTAGACATATTAGATATCACCTGTCACCAGACAGAGCGTCTGGTGGATCGCAGTTAGCAATTGGTTTATGGCATGAAACAGGCAGTTTTATCTTTTTTAGCTTGAGGACTTTTTATAGAGTTATTTAGATATCTTTATCCAAGTGAATGTTCAGTCATTTAAATCCTTTTGAAGGTCAGGGCCTGTAGATAACAGCAGTAAATTCCTCATGCCAGCCATGCAAGAAAACATCTTTTTTATCACTTTAGATTTACTGACTTTTACTGAACGCTTCCCTGTTAGTGAACTAGAGGAGGAAATGTTCCGCTACGTCTTTATTTTCTATTCCTTGTTATCCACCTACTCTAATCTCTCTATAAATCTGTTTTTATTTATAAATCTTTAATGTCTTCTAATCATCCATTCAGAGCCTTTTCCGACCAAAGGTAGAAGAAAAGTAGCTTGTGGTTTACTTTCCTCACCAGACATGACAGTTCATTAGTAATTCTTTAGTTTCCTTATGGTAAATCTTTTAAGAATTTTGTCTAAAAAAAGCTGGTAAAAGAGTCACGGAAGCCCTTAGAAGACTACTGTCTCGTTCTTTATTTCTTTCCTCATGGGATAATATTTTATTTTGATTCTTTATGATGAATAATAAGAATTTAGAAGAATGATCTGTTCTTTTGAAGGAGATGAGACCTGGGTTTTAGATGCAGAAAAATATCAAGGTTCAACTCGATTGAACCTTGTGTTACTGGCACCCATACTACATTTCTGAGGATAGAGGCTTCCAGTCTTCAATTAGTTATCTAGTATATTTTAACATCATTTTATTCACTTAAAATGCCACCTCATTACCTGGTATGTACTCTTCTATGTTCTAGTGCAAAACAACTACAGAGTAGTCTGACTTGCTTATTTTTATACAGGACTGACCAAAGATGCAGTTATATTGCTGTGCAATTGTTGTGGGCTTGTGAGCAGTTACCACAGCACAGCTGATGCACGTCACTTCTTTAAGCTTTGGTGTTATTATAATGGTGCGTTTGAGTTTCAGAAGCGCAATATTGTTAGCGTTTATCATTTAGAAATAAAAAAGAAGTTTTTCCTTTACATATCCAAAATTCTAAACCCTACAGGATTTAGAATTTTTTTTCCCCAAGGCAAAATTTGCTCATCTTACATTCTTAATAAACCTATTTTAATTTAAGTAGATTTGGCGCTGCATAAGCACCCAACTATACATTGCAAAAAGTCATTGTTAGATCACTTGTTGATTTTACAGTTAAAAAGTCATGAAAATGGTATCATTTTTTCAAATCTAGATTCACTTTCAAATCATAGCTGCATTTTTTTTTAAAAGTGACTTTAAGGACCAAAGATAATAGACAATTCCACTAATCTCTTATAACAAATTAAGAATTAAAATGCTTTCCTGTAATGACAATGTAGCACATCTATAGTTTTTGTCTATTCAAGTCTTAATTAAATGTAAATGTCAGCAATTGTGGTGTGTGAATGTGATTGCTTTCACAAAGAATTGATTTCTGCCTAACATAATCAAGACTCTGTATTCCTCTAAAATAATATTATCAATTTTTATCTCAAAATATGACAATGTTTTAAATATTATTCTGACAGGCGTTGTTCGAATATATTTTTCACCATGAGAATGACGTAAAAAATGTGAGTAGTTCATATGTTCCTCTTTCAGTTTTTATTAAGTATCATTCAGTTATTTCTATCAGTATTCTGCTAAACGAAGGATGAAGGTAGTACATCACATCTGAGTACAGAAGTGAAGCATTAAAAGTTGTTTGAAAGAGAGAAATGTTTTCCTAGGTGGTTAATGATCAGGGATGGTAATTTGCAAATAACAAGATACAGATTGCTTTCTTTTTTTGAGATGCAAAACATTCTAATACTTAAAACCAGGCCTCTCATCTGTCAATATAAGATCCCTGTGCCTAATGATTTCATGTTAACAGAATTTACTGGAGCCTGAGCAGTGGCTGAAACTACAGGTCAGGTAAGCTGAGCTGCCTAGAAAGTTCAGAGTGCCTGAGGCTTGAGAGTGGGCAACAAATTGTGAAAGACTGTCTGTTAACAGAAGAAGGTGAAAATACCTGACAAAATAGTTAAGTGATTGAATCGAACATCATTTGACATTTTAACCTACTGAGATGTTTGTTTATGCATTTGGGTGAACAGAAAGGAAAAGTATTTTGTGAAACTCTGAAAAAGTAAAATATCATTAGGACTTTGAACACATTTTCTAGAAAGTTAATTCCACAGTGCTGAGGTGTTTTGTGGCCTCAAGAGAAAGATTATATTGTCCATATTATTGTCTATAACATTTATTCTCCAAAATTTTTCCTAATTATACAGTCAGTTTCCCTCTTACTCTATCCAAAATTTTTCTTCTGTGGTTCTTCATATGTTACTGCACTTGAATGGGTAAGATCAAGTTTGAGTACATACTGTTTAAACTTTCAGAAATAGATAAAGGTGGCAAAACTTTTTTGGCAGTTCACCCAGGGAAATGAATAAAGTGTCAAAATATTTCATCGTTATGTTAGATATATGCACCCAGTTGAAGTGGAATCAAAATTTCTGCTTGAAGTTTGTTTGAACGAACCATTTATGTCAATAATGCATAGCTGACTAGGCAGTTATTGAATTTTCTGCAATGCTACTAACTGGTGTGTGACTAGATCTGAAGTTAAACTCTCCAGTTAATCAATAACACACAGAAAATATTTTGTTGTTCTTGACGTAGATCAGAACCGTTTCCAGATGTACTGCTATGTGAAGCTTTTTAATCTAGTATCAAATGATTATAGTTGTACACTGTCAATTTATTGCATAGCATTCTTTTAAGAGGATTGAATTGCAATGCACTATTAATCCAAAATACGATTGAAACAGTAAGTGCAAGTGTCAGAAATGTCAGAGAGAAATAGCAATTAACATGTGCATGTTCTAATACTAAATATGAAGAAAATGTCTAGGTTTTATGCCACTAATAATTAAAATTTATGTTGTTTGTTACTGAGAACTCAGTTCACTAAGAATAAAAGGGTCACTTGATAAGGTGCCACACGTGCCTGTGACCTACACTTTAATGACATGCAGGATTCTCTGGGCTAGACAGTTAATTTCATGAAATGCAAGGAATTTTCCAAGCACGGCAGAAAAAAATTTGTAGGCTTTTTTTATACTGTGCTGCATGTATTTTGAAATCCTTGCTGATAATCCTGAATCACTGTCTTACAGGAAAAGTTTTCCCTATGTTTTTTTTTATGCACCCTAGCCATTTGAACAAATATCTTCAAGCAAAGAAGTGTCAGCTTAGTCACTGCTGTTTATTGTGTAATGAGAGGGAGATCAACATGTTTGATTAATGATAGCATCCTGTAGGAAAAAAAAATGTGTCACACTTCACAGTATAAGGTACCTTTATAATGTAATGTGTATCTCTACAGAGATTTTTTTTAAACTGTTCAGTCTGCTTTCTTTCATTTGCTATCACTCTTTTCTTCTGCACTTTCTACACCATTTTCAATATAATTCTATAGGCCAAACTGTCCTCTCTTCCTTTTGAGCCTCATCTGCCTTAATTTTTCTTAAACAAAAGAGAAATACTTTAACTTCTGCTTTAACTTGGCTGCATCACTGTTTATTCACCTCTCCTACCAATGGCCTAACCAACTAAATTCATTTTCTTGCTTCTCCCTGAAAAAAATTTAGTTGGTTAGGATTCAACAGAGAAACAATATGTATGTTAACTGTTTAAAAGTTAATTTGGATCTTACTTGATCACCCATTAGAACATTCACTGATATCTCTTGCACCTTTGTATTACCTACTACTGCGTGATGTTGCACATTCTTAAAAAAAACACACAAAACACTTTTCTGCATGAGATGAGATGAAAGAGCTTGGAAGACTTGGAAGCTTGGAAAATTGGCTTGAGTTTGTGACTGTATAGACTGAAAAGCCTCTAATTGTGGACTTTCTGCATAGGTATAACTGGAAGACCAGTTCCTGCAGTTTTGCAAATAAAACACAAAAGTAGTAGTGACAATATCCTTTCTTTGTCACTGTGCTGATCTGGAACACTCTGTACTGTTCTCAACTGCATTATTATTTAAGAAGCGAAGGCAGTTTTATTATTTATCTTCTGTTTAGTATTCAGCCAGTACATAGAAAAAAAATCCTCAGCAATTTCAGTTGAGAAATATCATTAATCAATGTGCATTCAACTGGACAAACAATGGTAGAAACGCAGTTCAAATTAAAAGTAAATACATCTGTAATCTATCAATTATCAGAAACATGGGGATGCAAGAAGAGAGAAGCACTGAGCTTTTTCAGCACTTGAAAATGTATTCAAAGGTCTTTGATGTTATTTAATGAAAAATTAAACACTTCTCTGAAGGAATTACTATTACCCTATCTGTTATTGTTCTTAACTCGTTTCCTTTTGAACGTGTATACTTAGTAACTGGCTTTCTGTATCCCTTGGGCTATTTCTAAAAGCCATTTTATGGGCTAAATGCTGTAAGAGCAGGGCAGTTTGAGACTTATCCAGAAATAGTTCAGCGGCTACTTTTTTCAGCAGTAGACTGACATCATATTCTACCATTATCCACAGGTGGGTAATGATGACAAGACACTTCGTCCTGAGGAAGAACAATGAGTGTGCAATATATACTTGGGGCCAGAAGTCATGACCTCTGATATTTCCCTAGTTCTTCCTAATATTCTGAAGTTTAGACTCTCTGATAGAAATCTATTTCTAATGGAATTATATTACGTTTACAAACTATAGAAATCCAGAAGACACTCATCAAAAGAAATTGTGTTAAATTGACTATGGCTAATGTCGTTTACTCAGCTACCTTATAGACTATCCTGTGTTGATTTGTCTACAAGTAAGACTTTAGTCGATAACTGTTGCTGGGAGAATTCCTGCCATTCAGCAGCACGTGAAAGAAGCAACAGACATTTGCTATCTTTTCCATCTATCTAATTTCTTGGTGCATACAATGCTATGTATGAAGTTACTAAGTTTCAAACAAATGTGCATTTATCAATTTAATTTTGCAATACAACAGTAAATTACCACAACTCTACAAGCTGTTTTATACTGAGTTACAGCTAGTTGACAATTTGGAAGTCTTAGTTATAATACAATTTAGCTAAGGAAAGTAATGGTAAAAAAATGAATCTCAGAATCATTCTAAATAAAGTTACAATTAAAGAATCAACATTCTTTTTCATTTAAAAACAGCTTTGATAACAGCTCTGATTCAGTCTTTTCCCTTCTTTTTATTAATATGACTGCACCTACATTCAGCAATGCATAGGAGAGTGCAGAAGAGGCATAACACTTGCTACTGCTATTATAGATTAGTTTTAAATTAACATGCTGTGCAGATTGAACATCGATTTGTACCTAAACCGTGCAATTAAAAAAAAAGTTTGCAGCAAACTGAAATAGAGATATGCTAGCAGTTGGTATTGACATGGCAAGGTGAAGGCTTTGACTTTTTAAAGTCTATTTTAATCAATTTACTAACATTTCAAAGGCCACATTGTCAAAAGATCTTGCTATAATACCAGCAGAAAGTCTAACTACTAGTGTGTGAAAATCTGATTCTCATATGCACAAAGCCTTTTCAGGCAAACACTTTTTAGAAATGTTGGTAACATTTATAGTATTTTTGGATTAAAAATTTTTGATCACTTGTAAAGTATCAGAAACAAGGTTTTCCTAGTCCTTTCTACTTCCTTAATAGTATACAAAGAGACCTTAATATCAGAAACTAACTTCAAAACGAAGTTGTGCTTTGTTTCTTGATGTTAGTAATGAGATCCCAATAAGAGTTCAGGATCTGCACCAACAGGTAAACTGCTGATGTTAGTGTCTACTAAGCCTGAAGCAGTCTTAGTTCCCACTTTCCAATAACAGCCAGAATTGTTAGCCTTGCATAAAATAGTTATCAGAAATAATTAGGGTACCAGAAAGAAAGCTGAATGTGTAGCTACAGAAGGGATCATTTTTTGAAATTCAATCCTTCTCCTTCAATACTTGTCATCAGAGCACTCTAAGGAAAGCTCTTTGAAGCGTACTATTTGCAGTATGATCCTTACTCATTTTAAGTGGCTGCTCATGCTGCATTAGAAGCAGGTATGGTATTTGACCAACACACACATTGTTTATACATCTATAAGTGCAACAAAAGTAACTGATATTTTAAAATCAACTGTTTTCCAAATTTTCCCAGTACTGGGACGAAACTCCTTATGTACCTTCAGGTGAAAGAAAATTATTTGTCTGGAAGGGGAACGGGTAATTTCTATCTTGAAGCAAGCTTCTTCCCCTTTATAGCTGTAGCATCCAGAGGCCCTGTTGTGCAGTTTGCAAAGCCATTAAGAAACAAAAGGTCAACCGAGGTAAGAGCTGCCAACTGAGGTCTTTGAGGATTCCACCTAACTGGAAGAAATAGTGATGTCAGAATTGTAAGCCTTCCTCAGTTTTCTCTCTCCTGTCTCAGAGGCAGGGAATGACAACTGTCCGTTTCTCTTTGAGGACAGCATCAATGCAACTCCTTAGACTGAATTGCTGCAGAAAACAAAGTATTTATCTCACAGAGCCAAAAGAGAGCAACTTGTCCAAGTTGTCAGCTCTGCTGAGTTTGCTGTGCTATGTCAAATCAACACCTGTTGATTACCTGCAGCCTTGTTTTGTTAGCAGAAAGAACAGGAATCAAACTCAGAGGTAGATGTCACTAAACTAGGCTCTGTCTAGTATTTCAAGTATTCTTTTTTTTTCCTGGAAATTATTGATTTCTCTGCTTCTGAGTGGCCAATGCACAGAACTTTTCCATATTGTTCCTAACATATATAGCTAGTTTCTGATTTCTGTGGTCTGCAAAATGTTTATAAAAACAATAAAAAAGGTCAGTTCTTTGCTACAAAAATATTGTGTTTAAAGCTTTTGGGACGAATTCTGATGATATCCCTAAAATATAAGTAACAAACTTAGCATGGCTTTGATATGTTCTGAGACAAAATGGAATTGAAAAAAGATGGAACTCCAGCATTTGCTGCTTTGGTAGGTTTTGGTACAGAACACACACCTATTTGTTTTAACAGAAATGTTGATATTATAGCTAAAACATGAAAAGCCATAGATTCTGTCTGTGGTGGCTGATGGTAGCACATTGATTAGCATACCTAGCATACCTTTTCCAATATACCAGATAAAAGAGATTTTAGACCTCCACGCTCTTCAATAGCTATCTATTTCTTAGAATATTTGTCTATTTTTCCTATCAGTCATAAAATAATTACTTAAGTCATAGACTTTTTAAAGGAAGTATTACTTACTTTATATATCTGACAGTTGCCAGAAGTGGAGGTAGACTGATATTAGCAATGAGATGACAATTTCTACAGTATTTCAAATGGGCTGAACTGATTTCTTTATTTTAGTACAGTTTTACTTGTTTGTAACAACTTTTAGTGAACAAGGATTGGAAGCTTGGAAAAAGTGTTTCAGCTTACACAAATGTTCTTTAAATTCTGAAACAGCACTTCAGGAGTCCAATAAAATTAGTTTTATATTTTCTCTTTGAATTAGTAGAAGCTGTTTGGATTACATGTTCTTATAGGGACAAATTATCCTTTCAGCTACTTTATGCACTGAGCTATAAAAATAGTAAACATAAAGCAGTGCCCCACCTCATGATTACCAGAACTTTTTGTTCAAAATTTTCTCTTTACAAAAATCTTTAAATTGTTCACTTCATACTCTTTCGCTTTGTGTAAACATTGAAGGTATTAATGTTAAGATGATGGGTTTGTTTTGGAAGGCTCTAGATTTGGCAGCCCTTGCCACTGAGCACGCACAATTCAAGGACTGGTGGTGGAAAGTCCAAATCGGGAAGTGCTACTATAGGTAAGCCATTGTTCGTTTCTTCTGCGATCAGTGAGTATGAGTTCAGGGCCCGAACTGCTGGGTCTGTTGCACAATACTGGACACTGAGAAATAGTTCAGTAAATATTTAGTTGGGGAGCGCTGTGCTTACAGTTAAATCTCCTTTAATATACAAGGAGATTATGTTCATCTGCTTGAGGTGAAGGTATCAACACTGAGTACCTTTAAGTAACTGAATTAGTTGCATCTTCACCTTTTTTAATATGTTTCAAAGTCATTGTTTGAAAAGTCAGTAAATAAGTACAAAGAACTATTGTTAAAACATGACAAAATGAATATGACAATATTAACGTGAGAAATTAACTGTCAATGAGGGCTTCAGATTGATGAGATAATAAAAAATGAAATATTCACATTAGACACTTACTGCAAGAGGTGCATTGCCCAAGGAGTACCAGTTCCAAAGATGCCAAGGCCTCAGGGCTGACATCCCGCACCCGAGCATCTGATACAAATGACTTAGGAGTACTCCAGCATTGTGCAGCAGTGTGCCTCTCTGAGGAAAGGGTGGCAGCAGCGAGGAGGAGAGCTTGTTGCAAGCAGTTTAGAGTGGTTGCTGAGGATCTAGCTATGATTGTAACAACCAGCTCTACCAAATCAGGTGAAATTCCTCCTGATACAACGCTGCTTCTTGTAATTCAAACAAACACTGAGGCAGCTCCCTCTTTCAATCTTTATAATGTGTTTGTCCCATGAATGTAAAACATACAGATACTGTATTGGTTGTTAAAAAACTGAAGCATCATCTGCAGTCTTTACAATTCTGTAAGCAATTCTTTTATGAACAGGCTGATAACACAAAGCAGTTAGCCCTTTAAAATTCCATGTTGTACCTTGGCTTGAAGCTATTGCTTCTTTTTAGATGCTCAAACTAATGAATTTCTTCACTATCCTTAACCTTTTTTTGATGTTCTTTAGAAGATAAGACTGATTTATTTTTTTTTTTAAGCTTTGAGGTCATTTATCGCTTTCAGGATTTTCATGAATAGTGTTACAGAGACTAAAGCATCCAAGCAGGCACATGTATTTCCAGGATCCAAAATTACCTTATGTCCCCATTGACTGTGTTTTTTTGTTTTGGCTGGCCTGTTCTGACTGTGTTTTGTGTTTCTTCACCAAGTGTATGTGCTCTTTGGCTGAAGGAAAGAAAAGGTAATTTGCATATGAGAAAGTGTACCTTTTTGCTGTTGTTGGAATGGTACAATTCTCTTAATTTTGTAGCTTATATAGCATTTATAGATTACTGCAACAGACTTCTGTGAGGTTCATGTGCCATATATTGCCCCCTCCCAAGTGATCTGCTTGGATGGTCTTAAGTGGTGCCATTTACAGTACAGCATGTTTTCAACACACAGTTAAATATTTACTACAGCTACAAAAGTTTCACCATTCCCTATATGAGGCTAAGAGAAAGTGTTTTATAGATGATTAAGCATTCCCTAAACTTTGCAGTGAAGAGTATCTATATGATCTCTGCCATGAGTGAGGAAATCCTGCTCCAAAACCTTATGGAGTAGAGGTTGAGGCATGACTTTTAATTGCTCATTTTCTGCTGTCCACTCTGCACAAAGAGCAGGAGGGAGTCCTGTGAAAACAAAGACATCATTATTCAATTAGCACCAGAATGCTGCATTTAAAAAAGAGGACCAAATTTCATGAATTTGCCTTTTTCATAGTTTTGAATGGTTGTCTTTGTAACCTTGATATATGTAACAGCATGGGTTTTGTTAACATGCACACAAATATAGGACCTTAAAGCATGCTTTTAGGCAGTTCATGTTTGGTTTAGTGTGCACTGCTTCATTATTTAGTAAGCTTTTTTTTTTTTAAAAAAAAAAAACCACAAAAAACACACAAACATATACTTTCTATGTCTGTCTGTTGTCCCTTTAGGTTAGGATTATATCGTGAAGCCGAAAAACAGTTTAAGTCAGCTCTCAAGCAACAGGACATGGTTGATACAATCTTGTATTTGGCAAAAGTAAGTCATAAATTTACTTGTTTATGAAAGAAGTGAAATTCCAGACTATCCCTGAGAAATCCGTAGACCAGAATAGCTGAGTACTGAGCTTGATACACCATTAAGTTTAATAGTGTGTGATCTCCATACAGACCTGAGGCAATACATGCTAACAGCTGAAATTAAAGTCTATAGTTTACAAAAAGATTTTGGAGCTTCCAGATTTCACACACACACACACACACACACACACAAATCTCCTTCATTACTATATTCTTTGCTCTGAACTCCAATGAGGATTATATAGAGGGAATTATTGAAGTTCCAGTATGAAGAACTATGTAGTTATATATGGTCTCCTAGGAAACTAGTGCAATAGTAAGTGAAGAGTGAAGCTCAAAATCCTGATTCCACACGCAAAATCAAAACAAAGTGAGCTTAAAGGAAGCAACCAGAGACCTTGAAACAGAGACTGTTCTGTCTAAATAAAGGCATTAAAATCTTTAGAAGGACAAGTGGTGCAGCTAAGCCTCAGAATTACTTATTTATGGGGGTTCACATCAGATTCTAAACATTTTCCAAGACATTCAAGAAATCGTGGCCTGTAAGAAACTAAAACTACATTTTTCTTTCTCTTGTCCTGCAAAGAGATGAAGTCAGTCACTCTTTATCACCTCCCTGTAAGCCAGCTGTCACACACCTATCCAAAAGTCATCACTACTATTGGATAATGCAGACATTCATATTGTGTTACTTGCTTTACCTTTACATTTCTTGAGCAATTTATGTTTTGTATTTAAATGATCATCATTGCTATCTGGAGACTTGCCTTCAGCAGTTTGAGTTAGTTTACTCAATTGAGCTTAGTAATTTTAGATTTCTGTCACTACCAGAAATCATTCTGCAAAACACACGAGCTATGCAGAGTGATTAAATTGGCAGAGTAATTGGATTAACAAGCAGCGATTTGTTATGGGAGATATGCATCCCCCCACATCATTACTAGCTCAAGTAGAAGCTGCATTTGAACTTCCACCTCCCACTCCATAGACCAGCTTGCTCAAGTATAAAGCATCGCACAACATGATTTAGTGACTGTGGGTGGACAGGCAATAGAGTAGGGCACTGAGATGTAGTTTAATCTGACATTACTGAAAAAATAAGACTTGAGTTAAGCAGCTGTTAAAAAAATAATAGGATTGCCTCAAGTTCTGTGCAAACAGGCCAATACTACAGTACCAATTAGGTTTCTGTTTATATTCATTATTGCAATAGCTATCTGTTTTGTTTTTTTAAATATTTTCCTTGAAAGCTCACTCTCCCTTGAAATGTAATCTATGAAAAGATAAGACTGAAAGAAAACTAAAAATTAAAGAGTCTTTAAAGAAGTCAGGGCTGCCGAGAAGTTACAAAGTATATTATGACCCAGAAGAGCTGGAAATGAGATATTTTTACCAGAGATAAGAGAGATACCAAAAAGAAGATGGAGCCATTCTGCGTTTAGCATCCAAAACTTAATGACTACAGCTGTAGTGCTCTTAAAGAGCAAGTCTCCCTAAAGCAGCTGCAAGTAGGTGGAACGTGTCCTGTCTATCTTTTGATTTCTTTTGTGACTCATCTGGACAGCAGCTCTACAGTCTGCAGAGATATTGGGCAATGTGATATGCCACTGGATATGGAAATTACTTAGTAGAGTACTGTGGCTGTGTTGCCTTAGCACGCAGTATTTGCACAGTGAGTGCATCTTTGGAGCGAACCTCAAGATGAAGCAATAGAGCAGACTTGAGTCATAATGCTCAGAAAACATACTTCATAAACAAACATAAAGATAAAAATGGAACAGATCTAGTTTCCGGTCCTCCTTTTTTTATATTTTTTGCCCTAAGAATATGAAGATAACTGTGCTTCATACTTAGATCAGGTCAAAAAAAAGCCAGCAAACAAAACAAAAAAACAGCTAATTAAAATTTTCTCACAGTTCAAACAAAGAAAATATGAATTTATTTGCAGATATGAGAATATGAATTGGTTTACTACACACATTTAGGATAAATTGTAGAAGTCACTCACATAGGTGATGCTTAGGAGTAGAACAAACAGCCAAGTTGGTTGTTCTTAATTAAGAAGTCAAACCCAGCTATTATGTATTCTCTTTCATGTGTGTACTTTCCACTGAAACTTTTCACAAAGTAATTTGGTTGTAGAAGACTGCCGCTGGAAGAAAATGAGGAGTATGACAGTCACAATGGAGACAATTATTTAAAATTTAATATGTAATGCAGACATAAGGTTCATCAGAAATTACTGCATGGTTTATAAATGAAAAACTACAGCAAATGTCTTGAAGTCTGTTTTAGATACAGCAACATGCCCAGGTAGAGTGCATTAGGAATAAATTATTGATTTAAAGCAATCAATTTAAAGCAAGCAATGAGGTGAATTGATGGCCTCATTAGTGCAGTCCTAGTGTATGAAGTACCATGCCCCCCAAAAAACCCAAGCCCCTCGCTCTTTCATTGGTTTTCACAAGAAGGAATTAGTTTTCTAGCTTAATACAGGAAGTGCAAGTGACATTAGCAAAGCGACTGGAAAACATTGCCTTTATTTTTTTACTTTTTGCCGGTCATCAACCTGAAATGGCAGTCCCTTTACTAGGAAGGCACTCTCAGTTGACAGCTCTTTGATAATTGGGAATGTCGCTTCAGGCGTCGTGAGAAAGAATTCTTTGCAAATGTTTACAGCAGTATATGTCTATCGGGATGCAGCTGCAAATAAAGAACGTATGACTTTAACTAGTATTTTGATTGTTGACGCTCTAAAGTCCATGAAGCACAAGGGCAGAGGCAGAAAATGGGTTTGGAGGTTTCTCAGGTGTTCAGTTAACGTTGATATTTTTCTTACATTGCATCACAAAATGTTTGTATCGGATACCAGTCACAGATTCTTTTACTTTTTTAGTCATATCAAGTATTAACACTATTTAATGTAATATTTCTCCAACAGGAGCACTTAAAACACTTTTCCACTCAGTGGGAGACAGATTAATCACTCTAGCCATCTAGTTTCCCAAAGTAGATGTGCGGGGTTTTTCCTTTGCTGTGGCTATATTTACTGTACCCACAACAGGAGGGCTTTACAGTTGTACTCTGAGACAGCTGCAGAGGTGGTCTCTATCAACGCATTGATGTCTTCTATCCAATTCTCACACAACATTACCCGCATCACACGTGGTCGTAATCAACACAGAAGCTAAAATTACGGAGGCCAAACTGCCCTCTTTCTGTTACGGGATTTTATTGTTTGTGACAGGGAAGGTTCGCAGAGCAGTAAGGAGATTTGAGTGTGTCACTGCTCTGTGCAGTGCAGTCTTACTTGACTAAGTGAAATATTTTGGTATTCCAGCACTATCAACCTGAAGATTCAGTTCTTTCAAGCCTAAACATAAGTTTTTAAAAATATATTAAACAGGAAAATATTCAAGGTGATGCTTTCATCTAAGTGTCAAAGTGTATTGTTTTACTATTATAAAAAATAACGAGATACTCTTTTGGTTTATTAGTAATGTCCAGATGAATTAATAATGTCTAGATGATATGCATGCAAATTTAGTTATCTTAATTAGCCTATTTTATCTTCATTACAGATATTTATTCAGCATTCACTCCAATATTTTCCCAGTATTATTTACCATCTCAGCTAATCGTTTACTGCATAAAGGAAGGTGTAATTGCTTTTATTTATCTCCCTTGTTAAACAGCAGTACAAGTATAAAAGTCAGACATTTGACATTTATATACACTTTTTATTTGCTTAGGTGTATTTGCGCTTGGATCAGCCTGTAACAGCTTTGAACCTTTTCAAGCAAGGGTTAGATCGATTTCCTGGAGAAGTGACTCTTATTTGTGGAATTGCCAGAATCTACGAGGTATGCACCTAGTATGCAGTCCTTATTGTGGCCAAGGTTTGCCTCAGCAAGAAAAAAGTGCCAATAGTTGACTGTAACTATAAGGTCATCAAAAATTAACTACATTGATTTTCAGTATCACTAATGCAAAACAGGTAACTTTGCACAAATATACCAAAGTAATGTCAGGGGAGCCTTGCAAGCTTATTTGTTTAAATGGTTAATCACACTAGTGAGATCCTGCTTGCCCTTGACACTCAGAAGCAAGTCCACTTTAAGTCAAGTGATCCGAATGTTGTCCATGTAGCTAGGTCTAGTTTGTATACCTTTCATCATACTAATACTGCTCAAGTCATGAACAGCCTGCTAGCAGGATTAAACAGCAAAATAGTCTACTTGTCGATGTTGTCTTTATTAGCACTACATGTTGTTACTAGTTTCTTAATAGTGAGAACAGTTGGAATGTGGATGTTTCTTAGATTAGGAGGTGGATGTTACTTTCAGTAGGATTACTTTTAAAGTAGTTTCATTTTAGCTTGGTAACCATGCATTTTGTATTTTAAAAGTGTGTATTTTCGTGTCAAACAGTGGACTTAATGTTGTTTTTCAGTCAAGGCTGGTAATGATGCTATTCCAGAACAAACGTTTTAAACAAAGTCATGAGTTGGGTTTTTTTTTGTCTACATTCGTGCTTGGCATTCTTTCCTGTTCTCATCATTCTCATCTAACCCCTAAGCATTAATCCATTTTCATATTAAATCCTCTTTGTCCTTCAGCAAGGAAAAAACAGCTGCATAATTTTTGGAGACTTTTCTTTCTGAATTGTTAAACAGTTTTTAATATGGATATTATTTTGCAGAACCATACATAACATTGCATAACCCTTTAAGGAATTATTAAAGAGCAGCATATAGTTGACAGGATCGAGTTTTGTACTGACACCCGAGTGCAGGATTATAGCGTCATTAGCAAAGATTTGTATTGCAGCACAGAGCTGTTCTCATTATGTAGACTCACAAGTGGAATATATGCATCAGGCGTCTTAATCAGAGCTTTTCTTCTCTGTCACTGCTTTTGACAGTAGGAAGAGTTGTAGACCTTTTTCAGGTTTAAAAAAACCATTGTTTTCAAAGAGACTGCTTTAGCACTATTTCCTTTAAACATAGGAAGTATATTTTTTCATAGCTTGTCCCAGTTTTAGCTGGGACAGAGTTGTTTTTTTTTAACAGCCAGAAGAGCTCCGTGTTTTGGTTTTACTCAGAGGCTCGCTCTGAGAAGAATGTTGATAGCAAGTTGATGTTTGTGGTTGGAAGTGAAACTCCAAGGACTTTTCAGTGTGCGGAGTACAGAAACACGGCGGGATAAGGGGGGAGCATAGCTGGGACAAGGGGGACACGATTCCCCTTGTGATTTGTGGTGGAACTTAAGATTGAGGGCCAAACTGGCCAATCAGTATTCCATATCATGCAGCATCATGCCCAGTATAAAAGCGAGGGGCAGCCGGGAAGAAGGGCTTTTGCGCTTTGGCTCTTTTGCGCTTTGGCTTTTGCGCTTGCTGCGCTTTCGCTCTGTTGCTTTTCCTTCCTTCTCTCTCTCTCTCTCTCTGCCCCTCTCTATTTCGGGGCCTCGCGTTCGTCCGGGATTGCAGCTTCGGGACGAGACAGGCTTCGCATACGAGGGGGTGGTGAGCACATACACTGTATTAAATCATCTGTATTAAATCATTGTTATCTCAACCCACGGGTTTCCCGTTTCTTCTTTAATTCTCTCCCTCATTCCTGGGGGTGGGGGAGGGGGATTGACCAGCTGTGTGTGTGGGGTGGTTTACAACCTAACCCACGACATAGCTAAAGACACTGCTGAGGTTAAATAAAAGCTTATTCTTCAGTAATGTTGAGACTACAGTGTATCTACAGCACACAGGTAGAAATTATTCCTCTCTAAACACATAAGTGTGTTTTGATATTTTAATTTATTTTCTTCTCATATGGGGTAGAGTCCTCTGGTGACTTGCACTCCTCAGAAACAGTGTGACATTGTTAAGAGCAATGAGTTAGCCCTGATTCATCTTCCAAGTATCACACATCCAAGTGTATGTTTTTATGCAATATAGTTCTCTTAACTGGCATATCCTAGCTAGTAAAAGTTTTGGTAATAAATCTCCGATTCCTGCTTTCACAGGCATGTAATAATTCTTCATATGCAATTATATCCTCATTTGTGTTCAGAGCAATTCAGGAGTTGACTTACAAAACGTTGAAAACGATTGAGACATTTGCCGGGGAACTAAGTCTGCTGTATGTTACCATGCTGAGAAACTGACTGCACGGTACTGTGTATCGCAAGGCATTGTGCAAAAAGTAGCAAATGCCTGTTGCACATGCTAAGCTTCTGACCAATCTCTTTTTCTAAAAAATAAAAAAAACAAATCTCTTTTTGTAGCTATGGCATAGAGTTAATGACAGGTACAGCTAGCACTCATAAATTAATATGCATTCTTCTCGTGGATGTGCGTGTCGCTTGTGAAGATGCCAGTCGGTGATGTTCCATTGTACAATCAGAGAACTGTAAGAGCATACATAGTTCATCTCAGCTAAGTACTGTACAGGACATAGATAGAGAACTCAGTAGATTGACATTTTAATAAGTTTTATGATAAAAATCGGTGATAAAAAGTAAAATTAATCTGAATTTTTTTTTAATTGTTTAGGAAATGAACAGTATCTCCTCAGCTGCAGAGTACTATAAAGACGTCTTAAAACAAGACAATACTCACGTGGAAGCCATTGCTTGCATTGGCAGTAACCATTTTTATTCAGACCAGCCCGAGATAGCTCTGCGGTTTTATAGGTATCTACACTTCTGGGGAGGGAGGAGGAACTGAACGTGTGGGAGGGTAATATGAAGAGTTGATTTTTGTAATGCTGGTGGGATGATTTAACATTTGGGCGAATACTGCCATAAAATCAGCATACGAATTTACGTATTGTCTCAGCCGGCAATAATTACAGAATCACAGAATCACAGAATGTTAGGGATTGGAAGGGACCTCAAAGGATCATCTAGTCCAATCCCCCTGCCAGAGCAGGACCACCTAGATCAGATCATACAAGAACGCATCCAGGCGGGATTTGAACATCTCTAGAGAAGGAGACTCCACAACCTCTCTGGGCAGCCTGTTCCAGTGTTCTGTTACCCTTACTGGGAAGAAGTTCTTCCTCATGTTTAAGTGGAACCTCCTATGTTCCAGCTTATATCCATTTTCCCTTGTCCTATGATTGGATGCCACTGAGAAGAGCCTGGCTCCATCCTCATGGAAGTCACCCTTTACGTATTTATAAACATTAATGAGGTCCCCCCTCAGTCTCCTCTTCTCCAAGCTGAAGAGACCCAGCTCCCTCAGCCTTTCCTCATAAGGGAGATGCTTCACTCCCTTAATCGTCTCTGTGGCCCTGCGCTGGACTCTGTCAAGCAGTTCCTTGTCCTTCTTGAACTGAGGGGCCCAGCTCTTTCTTTCACAGCATGTGGCAGTTTGAGAGCACTGGGTCTTAATTCCTATTTAGGCCTTTGAATAAGTGTAGTCTTTGCAGAACTCCACCTGAGTCGCAAACAGTTGCGACCACAAAATCCCTTACTTGAACGTGGGCTGGGGTTCCCCCATGTTTTACTGAAAGCAATAAAAAGATAGCGTTAAATGATGCTGCTTGCTTTTTATTTCAATTCAATCAGAGTGAAAAGGAGCCTGAGTCATGTTCTGAAGTCTAAGAGCAGATTAAGTCAATATAAGCCCTACAGTCTCATTTCTGTTGGACCTGAGCTCTTTTATGCTTCAGGTTCAGAAACTCACAGTCATGCTGCATACAGCAGCCCTCTTTTTCCCTGGCTCTCTTAGCATATCTGTTTTTCCTGTAAACGTTAATAAACAGAATGTTTGTAAATCATCTCCATTCTAAAAGACACATTAAACAACATCAATTTGAATAAAAATCTGAGGTATGCTTCAAGTATAAGATTAACATAGAGTCACATGTGAAAGTTACTAGTACTAATTAGAGCAGTGCTGAAGGACAGGAATCAAGCAAAACAATTGAAGCCTGAAGAGTTATAAAAAGTAACTGACAAATTACAGCTTCTTTGAGGTTGAGGGATTGGAAAGAGGAAATGGAGAAAGTCCGCATATAGCTCTGTCTTACAGTAAAGTCAGATCGTGTGGCAGTCAGAAGGACAGAAGTTACCTTATTTACACAAAGACTGTTTTGCACAGCTTTGATTCTACTAATCAAAAATGCCCTGCACTGCCCTTCATGAGAGCTGTACCAAGTGTAAGATTTGGTTATTACACCTTCTCAGAATACAGAGAAAGGAGGAGAGAACTTTGTCATTTAGAATAGAATTTTTACTTGAAGTTAATTAAAAAAAA